AGGCTGGGATGAAGCTAAGATTTTGGATATTTAAAGCCACATCAGGTATAGGAAATACAAGGAAGCGGCCAATATGGCATGCTCGGCCAACCCAATTAGCCAACCCAGTTTGGACTTTTCTACCATTTGGATCCCCATTATCAGCAATGAAGTCATGAATTCACACAGAAGATCTGTATGGTGTGATATGTTTTTATTGGTTTCTATTAAGTTCTAAATTAAATAGACGTGATTTACTCCATTGTTGGCGCTAGTTAGACACTATTACTTCTTTACTAGTTCTCCTTTCTAATCCATGCCGTGGTGGTCATGGACCTGGTTATTAGGTCGGTATCGTGACATAAATTTCTACGGCTCTATCTATCCTGGTTCCATGCTTGTATGTGTTTGGAACAATCTGTTAAGTATATTTTTCTTATTAGCTCTCATGGACTTAGCCTGGTCTCAGGTATTTATAACCTTTGTGTTTTGTGACATAGGTTGTCCAATGATTGAGGGTAGCTCTTTTTCTAAGGGACCCAACAGAATAGGTGTTTTCCCTCACCTGAGGATGGAAACAGATCCAGTTTTTGAAACGGCCTGTTTTTCTTAGTTATCTTAAAAACTAGGACGATGGATAAAGTCCAAAAACCCAATATCTCAGATTAGAGGAATGTTTGCTACAATTCAGATTAGAATCTCTCATGTTTGTCTACCTACAAACCTACAAATTATAGTATGCAAACCTACCTCTTTTATGGAGGGCATTCTAACCATTACACTCAATTAATGCATAGACTAAAAGATTTTTTAAATCAATGAATACATTCTTTTGCTGTCTTACATACTTCGGCCTGAAGTGACAGTAAAATATTTTATTAATTTGTTAAGAATTTTTATGCTTGATGGAATTTTTGACTTTACACATTCAAACTATATCTGATAATTAAAGTGTTGCCTAGTGTTTCATCTGGGTATGAAATTAGGATCCACAACCTAAGGAAAGAACATATACTGACTTAGACTGTATGACAACAGCACTCTGAGGAGAATATTTGGACCAAAGATAAAGAAAATTACAGAAGGATGAAGTCATCCTTCTCTAGGGACCGGAGTACATCATACCTTGTATAGGCAAACTTGTGGAAGAAAAGTCCTGTTCTGTTATATATGAATTTCCCACTAAGTATGATTATTAGAAGTATCTTGAAAATAGAATCTAGTAACTTCCTAATGATGTGCCCTCATTCCCATAGCAGATGGGAGTATAATTTGTGATACTGACCAAATCACAGTGGATGAGATGGATGGGACATGGAGACATGGAGGAGATGATAAATGTATATGGAATAAACTACATGGGAGACCCAGGAAAAGATGGAAGCATAACATTAAAACAAATCTTAATGCAACTGAATATAAAGTTTGGGAATGGGTTTCACTGGCTCAGAATGGAGTCCAGTGGTAGAACATCACGAATACAATAATGAACTTTTGGGATCTATAAAAGGAGGGCACCTGATGAGTGACAGATTTTTCAGCTAGAAAAGTAAGATAATAAGACAGCTAAATGATACAGGTAATTCCTCCCAAATATCAAAACAGATCATTCACAAATATGATCGAGGAAAATACCAAAAGAAAACAAAGGGTGCGACTGTGTACATAATATATTCAATTGCACAGAGCTAATGATATATAGAAAACAAACCCTCAATAGGAAACAATCCCTGATTCCACAACACTCATATAACACCATACATTGGATACAAAAGCTTGGAAGCTCACCTGCACACATCATCCTTTTCCCAGCCCCAAAGAGCACTGAATTAGGATCCAAATTCTATGATAGATATGCATACTTGATTACAATGTCAAGCCACAGGCAAGATCAATATGAATGTGCACTTACAACTAAGTATGACCAGGACACACAGAAGGAAATGGGCAAAAAGCCAAAGAGCTTGAGCATTAGCAGCCATAACAAAAACACTGAATGAATGTCAGAACAGAACCGACCTCAGAAGTATGCACAGCTATGATGTTGATATTAATGAAGGAATTAAAAATATAGTTGTAGGTTGTAGGGCAGTTACAAATGGCAGAACTTTGGTACCATCTTTTGGAAGAAGTGGTCAACTAATGGGGTAGGATGAAGGAAGTTGATGACACAGTCATAACGGTGCTGAAAGCTTCTCTTTCCTCTTAAATTAAGAAAAATTACAAACGTTAACATCAAAATTATATGAGAAATGCCCACATGTTTACTGACATTGTAGAAACAGAAATTAATTGCTGCCAAGGCAACACAAAGAGAACTGATAAAATGGATCCTCCTAATACAACGTGTGTGGCCTTAATGTCAATAAAATAAAATATTATACAGCTCTGCTCACCAAGTTTCTTACGTGCTGAATGGACCTCAATATAGACACCATTAGTGGCATGACACACTTCAAGGTAATATTAAACGTCTTGCCAGGTGTGGTGTGAATTTCACTGATAACAAACACTGCAGATCTAACAGTACCATCATGCAGCATCTTTTCTCAATGAACATCTTTTACAAACTCTCAAAAAACTTTATGAGTGAAATCTGGAGAATATGGGGGGGGGGCCAAGGAAATTGGCCCTTTTTCTTTATCCAACAATCACAGAAAACTCCCTGTCCTGTGAGGTGTGAGCGCAATGGCAGAAGTGAGGTGGTGCACCATTTAACTGGAAAGCTGTTCCTGCAGGTATGTGAGTCACAGCAGTGCCATTCAATACCTGTTCTTAAAGAAGGAAAGAATCCATAATATCGTCTTTCATCAGAGGGTACCATACGTTGACCTTTGTGAATTACACTCATGTTCAATAGCTTCAAGAGTACTTTCACTTCCCCATACAGTGCCTGCTGATGTTCCACATACACAAAACATTGCTCCATTAGAAAAACTTAAATTCTGTCCTCTTTGACACGGGAAAGCATTTCTACAGCAACCTGTCTTCTCACGTCCTGATAATTTTGTCCTTTCTTTTGGAACAACTGACGCTTGCAACCATGCAATTTTAGTCTCTAGTGTAAAACTACGTGGGGCAATCCAAAAGTTTCCAAAATTTGAATTTTGCGCGCGAATGGTTATGAGTACATCAAAATACCGCTAGGTGTTTCCTCACACATTCTTCTTGAATCAGTGTGGCAAGCGGCATCGAGTTGAGTGGTTGGGTTTATTGTTGGTGAATGTATTTCCATTGTTGTGTTTCTGTGAGTTTTCGGTTTTGCGATGGCTGACCTGAGAGACCAGCGTGTCTGTATAAAGTTTTGTTTCAAACTTGGGAAAACCGCTGCAGAAATGCACCAAATGTTGAAGCAAGCTTTTGGTGGAAACAGTTTAGGCCAGACACAAACTTACAACTGGTATACGCATTTTAAAAATGGCCGAACACTGACTGATGATGACGATCGTTCGGGATGGCCATCAACAGGCAAAACAGCAGAAAATGTCGCGAAAGTTAGGGATCTGATTCTGCAATATCGTAGACTGACCATCCACGACCTCTGTAACACCTTGGGACTAAGTTATGGTACATGTCAACGAATTTTGTCAGAGGAACTGAACATAAGGAGGATTGCGGCGAAGTTTGTGCCACGACTGATGCAAAATGAACAGAAGCAGCATCACTTGGAAGTCTGCAGGGAACTTCAGCATCAGCTTCAAGAGGATCCAAACTATCTTTCGAAGGTTGTCACTGGTGACGAAAGTTNATCGATGTTCTAAGGCGTCTGAGGGAGAACATGAGGAGAAAACGTCCAGAGAAGTGGCGTACGAACAACTGGGTACTCCACCATGACAACGCATGACTGCATACGGCTTACATTGTGCAGGAATTTTTGGCTAAAAACAAAATGGCAGTTGTTCCCCACCCACCGTACTCGTCAGACTTAGCTCCATGCGACTTCTTTCTCTTCCCCAAGATGAAAATCAAGTTGAAGGGGCGAAGATTTGATACAGTTGAGGAAATTCAAGTGGAAACGCAGACGGTACTAAACACCCTAACAAAGAAAGACTTCCAGGATGCATTTGAAAAGTGGCAGAAACACTGGGATCAGTGTATGCACTCCCAAGGGGACTACTTTGAAGGTGATGGTGCAGAATAAGATGTAGGTAAGATATAATAGTTTTTATTAATATATTTCAGGAACTTTTGGATTGCACCACGTATCATGCACAGCTGAGCAAGACAGGCCTAATTCAAAATGTGCTGGGTGAATAGACTTGCAAGGGGATCCTCTGAAAAATTTCATATATTTATCTAACACTGTCCTGGGGCACCATGCCATGTGGAGGCCCATTCTATTGCAAGACACTCTGCGTCTCTTTCAATGTCTGTACCACTGCACCACAGAACTACAAATTTTTGCTACTTGGTTCAGGTACACCTGACATAACTTACATTTAATAGAGGAATACCACTTAAACTCTGTCTCCCACATAATTCCATCAACTTTCAGCCATACAGAGTAAGAGTTCTCTTAAACTGAAGCAAAATAGGATGGGATGGACCTGCTCCACCCTGTACACAGAAGGTGACTTGACTGGGCAGGAAAAGGAGCTCTGAGAGCTATCAAACTACATGAAGAAGTTCACACCTTAATCCCTGCTTCCATTTGTGTATATATTTCATTTTATTGACATTTAGGCTGGACACACATCGAACATCATACACCAAATAAACAACTACTAAGTAGTGCTGTAGTCCAACAGAACAGATGTATCTGTACAGGACAATTCTTTACAATCCATATAAATCAACTGTTATACTATGTCCTGACGATTCATCACTTCCACATGAGGAGGGAAAGATATCATGACTGCAAGTTTGCAAAACAGGTGATTTACGAAGCATGGCAACTGGGGAAATGACATCAATGTAAAAATATATATAAGATGAAAAAATATGGTATGATTTAAAAATATATACTAAAATTGTAACCGGATACACAATTAAATAAAATAATAATACAGATGTCAACTTACTAAAGATACAGAATTGTGATGAACAGCAACATCAGTGTCATTCTTCTGTTCATGTGAGAGTCGCTGTGTTGTAGAGGGTGGAGCAGGTGGGGCTGATGATGACTCATTGTTGGTAAGACTAATATTATCAGCATCCTCAGGAAGCCTCTTCCTTCCCCGAGTCTGTCGGGTGTTGCGCTCACTGCGTCTCTGGGCCCGCCCGTCTCCACGCCGGTTCATGGCAGTTCCGAGGCAAACCCAAGGACACGCTTTCAAGTGCCTGTGTCTTCATTCATTACATTGTTCTGCACATGTCAGCTGTAGAGAGTCATAGCATTTCTATAATCTACACTTAAATACCTGATAAGTATGCAGTCACTGTTTAACTCCTATTTAAACTAATTCATTTCTATGTACTAGATTATATTCCACTATACTGCAATGTGTAGCTACTACATACTACTGCAATACCACAAGTTATTCAAAAGCCTTCCGGTGTCATTCCAACATCTCATAACGGTCATCGATACAAGAGGTAAGTCAGTATATTCCCATAATTAGTATCAAGTTTCTACTTTCTGGAAGTCCATTCACGGCCACTATATTTGAAATGAAATTAATGCAGTTAAAAAGAATCACTAACAAAGGAAGACATCATGAAAATTTTTGGCTAACTCCACTGCACTAAGACATGAATATTGATAATAACGCTGAAGGCTGAAAATGCAGCGCCAGAAGCTGGAGATACTGGAGTTGAACCCTAAAACATTCTCCAGCTCCGAGATAAATTCATCCCACTTGTAAAGAACCTCAACACAGACCTAAACCTTCAATCTCTCAAATCAACGTTAATAGAATTACAGGTTAAAAATGTATTTTCCAAACAACTCATATATTATCCACTTGTAATTTATACACATTCACTACTTCCTACAACTCATACCTAATCATTCTTTGAATACAATAACGTAGTTCCTAAATTACTACACGACTCATCGTAGTATTTCCCCTTCTGTTGTCACAGGCAGTAAACAAACATTTCACTAAGAATGTCAATTATTTTGTATATATTAAGTCTACTAACCTCTGTGAAGCGTGTATACCAACATAGCGTCTACCAGAAGCTACGCTTGATTCCTGAATATAGTTATATTTATGATTAAACATTGAATTTCAGAACAAAAATGTTGACATCTATCACATGAACACCTACAAACCATCAAAACATCTCCTTCCCCCTTCCAGAATCACCCTTACCCTAAAAACGGTGGTGAATGAGTCTTACTAACCCAGCCGACTATTGGTGGATCTGTGATCACGTGTATCATTGTACATGAGCTGAAGAGTTTGATTGGTTGATATCGAAGCTACTATGATGTTAGTTACATAGGGGAGGTAAGAAGATGTACTTCTGAATTTTAATACTGTGATTTTTTTCTTTTGTTTTACAATTTAAATATCAAGCTTACATAGATCATTGCCAACAAATTTTAAGATTGAAGGATGAAATTATTCATATATAACTTGTATTTTTCTGAACAAAGGCCCCACGAAATCACTGCTTGCATGACTAATAAGTGTAGTGATCTAACAGACCGTGCATACCTATGACATATCGCCATTTTAAGTCCTGTGTTTACATGTACGTATTTTGTAAAATAGCACCTGTTACGGCAAAATGAACATATGAATGTATCCAAAAACAAAATACTATACCCATGAAGTCAAATTTCATACAAATAACTGCACCAGCACATACACGAATAAACAAAGGAAGTATAGTCATGCGACGGAATTATGACTTGAATCTGATCCTACATCAGAGATTCTGTTCAGATGGGTAGCAGGCCCTACGATTAAAATATAACTTTTCATAGTTCTGGGCAACTTCGGAGCGCTTTTACATGGAGCAAGAAAATTTTTAAGGCTTAAATATCTTGATCGATCTCAATTCATTCGAAACCGGCCGGAGCTAGCCTACTTCAACCACATCTCCGCGCCATTAACACGAATTTTTCACAGTGTTGCCAGGTCAATGACATTGCATCTGCAGAGATCTCGTAAACAAAGAAAGGAATGCGTTGGAAGTCACTAGATCCACGTAGAAGTAAGCTAACTATAAATTTTAAGTTTCCCACCTTATGAATAAAGTCACGAAATTCGATGTATCAGGAACTTTCAGTTATAAAGTAGACGAGCACATGCAGCCAAAACAGTAGTAGTAGTGTTCAGTTCTACAGCAAAAAAGTTAGTATATTGAAATCCACATGCATTACTTCTCGAAGATTTGATAATTGTTCTGAATAAAAGTCCTAATTATAAGTACATTTGACAACACTGAGGCTGCCACCTCCACTGCAACAAGACAGCTAGACCTACAAGATTGCAAAAGTCTGTTGGTTGTGTAGTTGTTTACATCGTTCAGGTTATTTAGAGGGGTACCGCTGAGCTTTGTTGCTCATTCTAGCCAATTTGCCATATTTTGTAAAGTGAGTTTTATGGGATCTTCCAAACTATTCATATTTTAACCGCACACTCATCGGAATTTATGACTTATTACGAAGTCCATGACTGTTCTTTTAACGTAACCGTTAAAATCTTCAGGATATGAACAGCTCCTATATACCAGCAATGAGAATAGCGTGCAACTTGTTTGGTAGTGGTCTTGTGTTGACTCTGCATGACGAGATTTTCCAAGGCAGCCCACATGGTCTACATCATTTTATGGAAGTACATACTATGGGTGTAACAGTAAGATGTCCTTAACGAAAAAATAGCCAGATACTTAACGGAATGCTGCTCACACGTTTTCCAAATGAATTCTAATTTACGCACTTCACAGTAATTCATGTTCATGTTGTTATGTGCCAATAATTATCAATTTTTAAGTATTATGCAGTAAAGTAACTGCACTGTTGAAAAACAAGATATCTGTGCACAACTACATTCTGTGATTTTGGGCCATGTACGCCGGTAAGGTTGAAGATGGAGGCAGAACGTTCCTCTGAAACGTTCAACTGGTGGGCTTCGGAGAGTCACATGCATAGCTAACACATGCCAATACATATTTTTCAATCACTGATATGAGAACCTCAAATCCAACAAGGTACATGATACAAAAGTAACTTTGTGCCCACGGTATACCTGTATATATGAATTTTGTTTTAATGTTATATTACAGCCATTTGAAACATTGATCATTGAACAGTTTGACTGCTTAAACTGTTACAAAATGTTAAACTGAGGTAATTTTATAAATACTAACTAAAAAGCAGAATGTGGGGAACAATTTCTAATGTATGGGAATAAGTAGAATGTCACTGTTTCTAGTTGCTTCTGTCGTGACTGGCCAGGCGACATATTGGAAGGTGTGTATTTAAAGGATATGACTGTTACATACAGTCTGTGCTTTGCAGTCTGAATGATTTGTTTGTATGCAAAATCATTTAAACTTGAGTACCATGCAAAGCCACCCAACAAGAACAGCCAAATGCATCTGTGGGGTTACATTAAAAATATGCATTATGGCTACTTGGCATATGGAACGCTGTGTAAATCGAGCAGGTATGGGCTAAGTGGCAGTGATAATAGGAGCTGAACAGTACTTACGGAGGCAGCAGGTTCCTCCAAAACCCTATGAAACTGTGGTGTCAGAAATCAAGAAACCACAACCTTAATGCAAAATTACTTTAACACCATTTCTGTGAACTCTTAGTCAGAGATTATTATTTTTACCAAAGCAAAATATAGAAATGAAACCCATAATTTGATGTGATTTTGTATTTATAAATGATAATTATTCAAAATGTGTAGCAGCAATCTTCCTGGAGGTAAAGGGCGGCTGGTGTGTAAGGCTGACTCAGTGCTAGCTGTGGACTGATTGTCTAGAAAATATGGGAGTCTCAACATCTCACAAACCTATATAGACCTCTATGGCCTGTTACAGGGAATGCTTTTAACTTTTTAAGTCAAACTGGGTACCAACAAAATATGCTTTGATATTTGTACAAAACAAGAAATAAATGCGAAGGCTATAAAGATACAAATGAGAGGAAACAACTGAAAACAAACTAATGTAAGAAACCAGACTTTTGAATGATATTTCATGACAATGGGTCAAGAATCTATTGCCTTTGGTATGACTGTCTGCTCACAATTAGCCATTACAGATGAAATGAAGTCTGATGGTTAAAGATTCCATGCTCAAAAAGACAGAATTGTATGCTGCTCCAACTGTGCACCATTAACTGAACTACATTTGGATATTGTTTTAATGAGTGCATTTTCATCAAACATGTTGTTTCTGAAGGAATGAATATCAAATAGTAAAACTGTTACATCAAGATAATTAAAAACCACTTGATAAAGTGTTTCTTGAAATTCAGTTTAATTAAAATCTATGGAAACCTAAATGATTTTGTATTCTCTCTTTGACATCTTCAGAGAGTCCATTTTGGCAAGCAGATGACACAAAAAATGGCACTGCAATGAAATTAGTAATAGCAACTTCGCACATACACACGTACACTACATAACCTTTATAGGCCTGCTTATTTATAATGAGGATGACAAGTAAGCAATACTGCAACATGAAAGTCTCTACAGATTTTAATTAAAGTGAGCTTTATAAAATGCTGTATCAAATGGTTTTATTATCTTGATGTACCATTTACCAATGCAGTGGTAATATCAAATATTAACTACAGAACTGTAAAAGTGACCTTGACATTCAGTAACTTTTCCCTCCATTGTTTAAAATATCATGAAGGCATATGGTCAGAAAAGGATTTGGGACTTGGAGGGTGCAGTTATAAAACAATTACAATATAAATTTGAAATTATCTTTAAAATCAATATGAAGTTGGTTTCAAGACCCACTGCTTCATGTTAAAAATAAAAACAAAGAAATAATTTCACTTTGTTCTTTATGAAAAACATATTTATTACAAAGCTGGTCTGGTTGTGTACGAGTATAGTGTATTATTTATCTGTAATGGTGTACATGAACTGACTCACAGAAATGAAAAGAGTGAAATGTTACCATGCAAATATAAGTATCTATGTTGCAATCTTAATTGAAATGTGAATGTGCCATGATTAATAATCAAGAGGGAAAAAATATTCAGAAAAGAATATCAAGTTCAAAGGTGTTCCCCGAAGCACCAGTCTTCAAAAAGTTGTTTTTATCACACTTATGTATTGTATACCCTTAGGTATTAATATACTAATATACAAGTTGGCTCCATTCTACAACTCAACTGCCTGGCAACCTTCTGCTGCTTTGGAGCCATAATTACAAGAAAAGTTATCACAAGGAGTATCCACGGGATAAATTGCATACAAATATTTGTGACCCAACTGGATTCACATTTTCGTTGATAGCACATCATCTTAAGATATGACTATAAAAATCACAGGCCCTCATAATAATAAAATAGTGCAAACTGGTATTCATCTACCACATAGTGGTAAAAATTAATTTAGAACGCACTAAGTACCTTCCTTTTATGACTAAACATTACACTGTTATTTTCATTTTTACAGTAATGTACAAAAATTACTTATATCATAAAAAGCAACTATTAGTGTCAACTGCTCAGCTGGATGTTTAGAAAATGTCTACCCGAGTACTGATGTATTAGCTTAATGCAAATCATTACATACTATTATGAATATTGTGCAGGACAGATCATACACTTCACCCCAATCACAACAGTGATTATAATGTCAAAGAGAGATGCATATTTGAAATCCGTCATTCTGTGAGTTATTTACCCAAAAAAGTCAAACTGTCAACATATTAACACTGATCAATATAGGCCACCTGAGTGTATACATCAAGCACCTTTCATACATACCAGTTCTTGGAAATTATATATACATAAATTAACTGGAGCCCAAAACCATGAGCCAAATGTCATTCAAACGCCTCCAAGAGAATTAGGTGATCAACTGCAGAATAGTATCAAAATACTGATAACAAGAAGTGTCTGTTTAATTCAGGTATTTTCGACACTTCCGTGAACCACATGTACAAGGGATCTTAACATCTTCAAATGGAAACTTGTAGTCATATGTTAGTTCTTCCCCCTGTGGTATGCGGCGAAGAGCGAAGATCAGGATATGCTTTTTTCCTAAGATGTCCACCACACGTGAGTAGCAATTGGGCTGGAACAAATCCAATTGTTACACTATTAAAGTCCCTATGGATATTATTAGTCTGGAATCAGCATGAACCAGTCATTACAAGGGGTTCAGAATAGTGTGAGTCTGGAAATGCACTTTTCACCCACTTGCTCAGAGTTGTGTAAGTACATAAACTGCAATATCCATGCCTAGATTATTAGCTATTATTATTGAGTCGTTGTTTACTTTCCATACAGTACAGACAATTCTTCATAAGATGAGGCACTGACTACACAATTAATTAATTTGCAACATCATGGGCCTCCTATATATTCTTATATAAATGAAATATCCAACTTCAAATTGGTCCATATAAACGTATGAAAAGTAAAAAATCAACGACCGATTTGATGATGTTAATTACGTTTTATCTTGTTTTATACAATAACTTTTAAGTTTTTTTTTATATAATCTGACTTATTGTATTTTTACACAAAGTATTTTAACATTGTATCCAATCTATTGTACAGCAGTTCAATGGTGTATGTTTGTTGATATGTGTTTGCCTGATGATGGCTGTTAGTGGCTGAAACATGTAGCGAAGCCCTGATTTTTTCTATTTGTTGTGTTTTGATGGTCTATAAGAGAGTTGTATATTGTAACACAACAGGATGCACGAAATGAAAATTATAGATTATTAGGTTTGCACCTCACCTACATGTGTTTTCAAAGCAGGAGTGCAACACTGTGGAGCACCTGTCTGCATGCATGAGACAACTCTAGAACTGCTAGACAGATTTTTGTGAAATTTCATACTGGAGAATTTTAATGAAAAAACTGTCAAGCCCTTTTACTGATCATTTTCATATGATAACTGTCATGGCCAAGACCTACATGAGTTTCTGCATGTATCCTGAGTGTAACACATTAAATATATGTGGGGCAATCCAAAAGTTACCGAAATTTGAATTTTGCACGCGAATGGTTATGAGTACATAGAAATACCGCTACATGTCTCCTCACAAATCCTTCTTGAATCAGTGTGGCAAGCGGCGTCGAGTTGAGTGGTTGGGTTTATTGTTGGTGAATGTATTTCCATTGTTGTGTTTCCGTGAGTTTGCGGTTTTGTGATGGCTGACCTGAGAGAGCAGCGTGTCTGTATAAAGTTTTGTTTCAAACTTAGGAAAACCGCTGCAGAAATGCACCAAATGTTGAAGCAAGCTTTTAGTGAAAACAGTTTAGGCCAGACACAAACTTACAACTGGTATAAGCATTTTGAAAATGGCCAAACATTGACTGATGATGACAATCGTTCGGGACGGCCGTCAACGGGCAAAACACCAGAAAGTGTCGCAAAAGTTAGGGATCTGATTCTGCAAGATCGTAGACTGACCATCCACGACCTCTGTAACACCTTGGGACTAAGTTATGGTACATGTCAACGAATTTTGTCAGAGGAACTGAACATGAGGAGGATTGCGGCGAAGTTTGTGCCACGACTGATGCAAAATGAACAGAAGCAGCATCGCTTGGAAGTCTGCAGGGAACTTCAGCAACAGCTTCAAGAGGATCCAAACTATCTTTCGAAGGTTGTCACTGGTGACGAAAGTTGGGTTTATGGCTATGACCCTGAAAGCAAGCAGCAATCGTCACAAGGAAAGGCCCTTCTTCACCTTGGCCAAAAAAAATCTCAACAAGTCAAGAGCAACATTAAGTCCATGTTGATCTGTTTTTTTGATATTGACAGGATTGTTCATAAGGAGTTCGTCCCTCTGGTTAGACAGTCAATAAAAGAGTTCTACCGCGATGTTCTAAGGCATTTGAGGGAGGACATGAGGAGAAAATGTCCAGAGAAGTGGCGCACGAACGACTGGGTACGCCACCATGACAACGCACGACCACATACGGCTTACATTGTGCAGGAATTTTTGGCTAAAAACAAGATGGCAGTTGTTCCTCACCCACCGTACTCGCCAGACTTAGCTCCATGCGACTTCTTTCTCTTCCCCAAGATGAAAATCAAGTTGAAGGGGCGAAGATTTGATACAGTTGACTGGGATCAGTGTATGCGCTCCCAAGGGGACTACTTTGAAGGTGATGGTGCAGAATAAGATCTAGGTAAGATGTAATAGTTTAATTAATATATTTTGGGAACTTTTGGATTGCACCCTGTATATTGTGCCAAAAGTAAAGAAATGCACTTCCCATTTTCAAATCATTCCCTTGAGAAGGTTATAGAAAATGTATTCAATGAATGGTATGAAGCCAAGGCAGTGTCAGAGTTTGATGCTTGAGGAATGCTGAAATATGTTTTGTCACAAGAGAAGGAAAAATTACACTCCTCAGAAAGGTAATATCATCAAAAGGTGCTGGCCTTCCAAGTTACACAGCTTCCTCTGAAGAGAACAGAGATTAACCCAATAAAGAATAAGTTTATGTCACTGTTGTTACAATGACAGTTTAAATGATTTGCTAATGATAAAAGTGAATGGACCACCACCCAAAGCGCCTCAACCACCATGTACAATAAATCGTTGTTACCTATACTTCCGGGGGGGGGGGCATGCACACACCATATAAAGGACTGAGGTGCCATTTTTAAGAATGGGATGTGCAAGCAGAAGGATAAGAGTGAAGCTTAATTTGTGACGATTTCACAACAAAGGAGATTTTACACATGTTTCATTTAAGGTTATTCTTAGGTATATGTTCATGGGGGGGGGGGTAAGTTTGTGTGTTGGCAGATAGGGGTTGGAAAAGCATTTAAGCTTCTTCCCATTACACTGTAGGATGTAGATCTGTTGCTAAATAATGACTTTGT